GTCTCTTCCAACTCTGTGATTCTATGATTCTATGATTCTATGATTCTAAACACATTAGAAGAAACCTTAAAACTGATCAAAATAGTTCAGAATGATTTAAAACCATGTAGATGGAAGGATTTATGTAAACTGTTTAGCCCCAGTGGCTTTAGTGAACAGCTATGTTTTCACTTGGCGCTGGAATGATGGCAACATTGGTGCCAGTTGGACCTCCAAAAGGAGGGCATTCTTAATTTGGGGTGCCACAGCAGAGAAGACCCTCTCCCTTCTCCTCCCATAATGTATTGTCTCAGTCCTTAGGGAGAAATAACATTTTGTATTTGGGACTCTCCAGGGCTATACTGACTGCCAAAACCTGAAAAATCCAGGGGATGACAATCCATTTCTTGCTTTGAAAAACTTACACAGGTGGAGTATCCCTTATTTGGAATTCCAAAATCAAAATCCTTCAAAATCCAAAATTGTCTACATGGGTGTCTGAGATAGTGACACCTTTGCTTTCTGATGGTTCAGTGTGCACAAACTTTGTTCCATAGATAAAACTGTTAAAATATCGTGTCTAAAATTACCATCATAAGGTGTATATGAAACATAAATGAATTTCATGTTTAGACTTGGGTTTTACTCCAAGATATCTCATTATGCAAACACAAATATTCCAAAATCTGGAAACAAAAGTCCAAAATCCAAAACACCTCTGGTCCCAAGCATTTCAGATAAGTGAAACTCAACCTGTGTATTTTTAAAGAGTACAGGAAGGGCTGTGACCAATGTAAAAAGTGTTTACTGTTCCTGGAGGTTTCCAGGAGAGACAATTCACCTCCTTTTTGCCAAAAAAGGGCAGTTCAGAGTAGTCACGGGCCACTAAAACAGCCTAGCGCAGGAGATCTGATGGTTGGCCCACAGGCAGGGTGACCTAGATGCTCTCCTTTTCCATGACGTCCTACATTTCAACCTTCTGTCCAGGAGGAATACCAAAATGTCCTTCTGAGCATGACAAAGAAGCACACATTTCTATTTCTATGAGTGTTTTTAGTTTTTATTTGGTCGTGTCCTACGTTTTTCTTGAATGTTCTTCATTTTGTGGTTCCTTTCCCCTCCTTTGTGGCTAGGGTATCTGGTCACCTAGCCTATGGCGATACTTGGTCCATCCTGGATCCATGGGCTTTCCCTTTCCCTTTCTAGTGTTCCAAAGCAAGTGTGCTTCCCAGTATTTTCCAACACCTTGTGATTCAAAAGCAGCTTGTTTTTCAAGCACGCTGGCAGAAAGTGCCAGGCCAGTCACATGCTGTTGAGGCATGCATTTGTATGCATGGCAGGGAAGACTATGTATTAAAAGAAGAAGCAGCAACAGATTCTGGAAAGGCACATCCTGAGCTTCTGTACCTGAAGCCGATAGGATGGAAATGTTCTGATGCTGTCTGCAAATTCTATTCCTAGCAACGGATTACCCCAGCAACCAGCTCACCGTAGTTTGCATGTTGCGGCTGAGATTCTGCACCAATTAAGTGTCTCTTGGTTGGAAGACAAAGAAAAAAAAGTCTGAAACTGAGATACAGGTGTTATATTTCAGTGTAGGTTAGTGCCTGTATTTAAATATACAGTTTCCTTAGTCAGAGTCCTGGCAGAGGCCAGTAGCTTGAACCCTTGGCATTGGCATCTATGGGGTTATTGACATGTTTTCATTTTGCAACATGGCTATGCAAATAATCTCACACATGCATTCCTGATTTGTTGTTCACACTGGTGTTTTTATCGGAACAGCATCTCTGAATGTGTCAACATTGTGAATAGTCGATGATGCGGATGTATTCGAAACACATTCAAGACGTTCAGAGTTTTATCCTGGCTGTATCCGCATCAGTTATTCACACAGCTGACAATGTGAATTTTCCAGGAAAACTCAGGCGATTGATTATCCTGGGTTGTGCAGTTTTGTCATGTTCAGCTTTCATGATTCAACCCATGCTTTACCAGGATTATTTACACCATCTGAGTAACCCCTAAGAAGTAATTTCCCCTTGGTCCCTGCTGGAATTTGTTCTGTGAGACAGGGATTGCTGCCACACATTTATCTATTTTTCATAGAATCATAGAATCATAGAGTTGAAAGAGACCACAAGGGCCATCCAGTCCAACCTCCTGCCATGCAGGAACTCCCAATCAAAGCATCCCTGACAGATGGCCATCCAGCCTCTGCATAAAGACCTCCAGGGAAGGAGACTCCACTACTCTCCGGGGGAGTGTGTTCCACTGTCGAACCACCCTTACTGTCAGGCGAACCGCCCTTACTGTCAGGGTCATTTGTGGTCATCCATGCAGCCCCACAAAACCCTAAGGAGCCCCCTAGATCCACTGAAAATTATTCACCTCTACTACATCATTTCCTTCCTTCATGTTATTTGCAGAGGTACACAAAGGCAGAAGGATGGATGCAAGAAATTTGGTCACAGACAATATTAAATACACTTGGTCTCACCATTCACGGACTTGCCGTCCGCAGTTTCAGTCCTTTGCGGGTGGCAAGCAAGGAAGAACAAAATGTCATGTGCGTGGGAGCATGTGGCCATTATAATCAATGGGGCTTGAATATTTGTGTTTTTTCCAATTTGTGGGAGGGGGCAGAACGAATCCCCCGCAAATTGGGAGTAATAAGTGTATAGTGGGCCCTTGGTATCCCCTGGGATTTAGTTCTATACACACACCAACATCCGAAGATGCTCAGTTCTTATATGCAAGGGTGTAAAATGGTGTACCTTATATAAAATTACAAAATTAAGATTCCTTTTTGGATTTTTTTTTTTTAAATTGAAGGCATGGGTGGTTGAATCAGTGGATGCAGAATCCGTGGATATGGAGAGCATGAATGTATTGGGACTCCCAAAGTACAGCTTTTTCTGTGCCAGAACTGGAGCTCCTGCCAAAATGCAGAATTAATTCAGTTTGACACAGCTTTAACTGCCATGGCTCCATCCTGTGGAATCCCGGAATTTGTAATTTGTGGTGGCAAGAGAGTTTTCGGACAGAGAAGGCTAACTATTTTGCAAAACTACAAATCCAAGCATTTTGGATACTGCAACAACTTGTGAGCAAATGTGAGTTGAAATCTGAGAGTTAATGAATCTCAGTGCCTGAGAAGAGGGAAGAATAGACTGTAGCAGACAAGCATAGCTCCAATTCATGATTTAGTAGTTATAGTAACTAAATAATGGTTTAATCTGTAGCAGCTGGGTCACATTCTTGTTGAATTCCTGCTTTCCCCCCCATGACATGTCCTAAATTGTGTTCTCTAGTGGTAAAATGTCTTGTGGCACTGTTTCATGCTGTGGACGAGAGCAGTGGTGCTTTTGCTTGTACATCAGTGCATTAAGTACACTTTCATTTTAGTTTGTTTATCCTGCTGCAACACCGTAGAGAGCTTCAGTGTGTTTATAGTTTGTATATTATGATTTCTCTTCTTATTCTTTTTTTTTTTAAATTAAACTGCTGGAGACAGATGTCTCTGACTGGGATGTTGACAACATTTGCCTTTCCTTTTTGCTTAGAGCAATATCTTTGGAGTGTTAGCTTCTCTTTCTTTCCTTATAGTTAATTTGTATTTGGGGTTAGCATCCAAGAAGCAGGATGCTTGAGGTCTTCTCTTGGGAGCTGTTGACTTCTTGGAATAGGAATGAATAGTTTGCCACAGACTTGATGCCTGGAGCATTTTATTGTATATATTATATTATATTATATTATATTATATTATATTATATTAATTTTAGAGTATTTATATCCTGCTCTTCAGCCATAAAGGTCTCAGTGCAGCTTACAAATTGTTGATTTGGTAGTTCCCTGCCCTCAGGTTTACAATCTGAATAAGACATGACACACAAGGAAAAGGGAATAGTAATGGGAGAGGAGATTAAGTCCAACAGATACTGCCTCTTCTCTACCCCGAGGTCACAGCATTTGGGGTGGATGGAGGGCATTTTATCACCTGCCAGACCCGATATTACTTATTTATATTTGTGTGGTGTAGTGGTTTTAGCGTTGGACTATGACTCGGCAGACCAGGGTTCAAATCCCTCCTCAGCCATGTAAACCCACTGGGCATAAACATTGAGCAAGTCATCCTCTCTCAGCCTCAGAGGAAGGCAACGGCAAACCTCCTCTCAATAAATCTTGCTAAGAAAAACCCATGATAGGTTTGCTTAGGGTCACTGTAAGTCGCAAATGACTTGAAGGCACCCCCCCCAACAAACATTGTATTTTTGACATTTCACTTTTCTTTCCAATAAGCTCAAGGTGGCATGCATAGCTCTGTTCCTCTCTACTTTATCCTCTCAACAATCCTGCATGGTGGGTCAGAGGGAGACAGAGTCATTGCCCCAAGGTCAATCAGTGAGCTTTCATCTCTTAGGAAACTTGAACCTGGATCTCCCAAAACCCAGTTCAACCTTCTCATAATTGTACTGTACTGGTTCTGCTGGTGGCATCTTGCCCGAGTTCAGCTTAACCTGAGTCTAGATCTTAGCTCAGCTACTGAGACACAGTTGGGTTGTCAAACACTCAGCTTCAAGGGCTGAAGAGACTGGCCACTAGGTGAGAGCAGGCAGTTAGGTAGTCTAGGGAGCAGCTGGATAGTCTATGGCTGCATCTGCACTGCAGAAATAATCTGGTTTGAGACTGCTTGAACTTGCATGGCTCTATGTTAGGCAATTCTGGGAATTCTGGGAATTTGTTGCGGCACCAGAGCAAAGCTTTGCTCTGGTGCCGCAACAAACTACCATTCCCGGAACTGCATAGCATGGTGCCATGCCAGTTCAAGCGGTCTCAAACCAGATTATTTCTGCAGTGCGGATACAGCCTGTGTCTCTGACAAGACTCAAACTGACGGAGAGCACCACATCTGACAGCTGTATCGGAGGCAGTGGCAAGAGGTTATTTCTCTGCAAACGCCTGATTCTCAGGACCAGGGGGGTTCTTGACTGAGTCCAGAAAATTTCAGTTTTGGACTACAAATTATACAAATTCTCAATGATTCTGGCAGTTAGAATAGTCAGAGTATCATAGTGGTTGAGTGTCAGACTATGACTCTGGAGACCAGGTTTTGATTTCCCGTTTGGCCATGAAACCCACTGGGTGTCCTTGGGCAAGTCACACTCTCACAAGGCACACACAACAACAAAAACAAATTTGTGGCATGGCCATTCATAGCCTTCAATCTCTTACAATTATACTGGATCAGTTAGGAACTGCTCCTCATCAATCAGGGAAAAAATGCTCTTGAATTTGCCACTGCTAATCTCAAGGTGGGGCTCTCCATGTTTGAAAGTTTCCCATGGAAAGGCACTCCTAGGAACATCCCAAGAACCCTCCTGGATCAGTACAAAGGTTCATCTAGGCTGCATCTGCACTGCAGCACTGATGCAGTTTCACACCAGTTTAATTGCCATGACTCAATACTATAGAACTCTGGGGATTGTAGTTTTCTGAGACTGATCTAGTTTTATAACAACAGCAGCTCAACAAGAAAGGTTGGGTCGATGATGGAGAGACCAGACAAGTCACCTACACAACCTTTGGATCAGAACAACAGGCTTCAGCCTGAGTTCCAGTAAGTCAGACCAGCATTTGTCCCACTTAGTAATATCACAGGATTTCATAGCTGTAGGAAACCACGGCATCTAAATGAGAAAACACCCCTTTCCACTCCCTTCTCTCTCCAGCTGTGAGCAGCATCATTATCATGAGGAATAGGGCAGTTTCTTCCTTTGAATCATCCCTCAGACCTGCTGCGCTGCTGTTCCATTTCCACCTAACAATCCCACCCAAAGAATGGACAAACCATCCTCCATCCATGTGCTATTATTTAAAGCAGGATGTAATTACAACAAACCGAAGGGGTTACAGCTGATCAAACCCTATGCGTTTCCCTCAATTCGATATATAAAGATTGCTCAGGGTAAATGCAACCTGAATTCTCTTTTGCTGAGATTTATTCCCTTTTTTAAAAATAAACACAGTAGCTAGCAGGCAAGCAATCACCAGGGCTCTGCATAGCGCAGACAAGTTAAGGTAGAGATGTTCCTTGCATAATTGACCTCTAACAAGAACAACAGGAGGTTTTCAATAAAAATCCTGCAGTTTATTTTTCCTCCCATCGCCTGGCAGTGAAGGAAAACAAAACTCCACAGAGCTCTGCAGCACCACCATTGCACACAAAAGAAACTTAACTCAGTTTGAGGACATCGCTTGGGTCTAGTCTGCCTATTTTACAAAAAATAAAGTATGACCCTGCTCAGTTTAAGGATCATGGGCAAAGCAAGGGCAGACCATAAGCTATGGGTTGAAGTGAGGTTAACAATCTGTCCTTTGGTTTCATAAAGCTGGCTTGTATAATAGTGTTTTTTTTAAAACCTGGTTTTAAAATAATTTTGAAAATAACATTTTCAAATAACATTCCCAGAATTTTATTCTGCATGGTTTTGGGAATCCCAATGGGCGAAACAGTGATTCATAAACACTTCTAAAAAAATATTTTTTTCATCATTTCCATATAGCAATACAAAAGGTATTTACATATAACAACACAACATCATAAACAATACATCATAAACAATACAAGGCGAGGGGGAAAGTACCATACAAAAGGAAGAAAGTAAAAGTAAAAAAGAAACAAAGAATGCCTGTTATCTTCACATGGTTATTATTGTACCATTGCATTCTTGACTTCCTAAAATAGAGATTGTCTACATAAAAACTTTCAGCTTACCTTGTCTTATCCTCCATTGCTTATTGGCATTAACTTTTCGGAAACAGATTATCTATCCTATTAATAAATACTTTAAAGCAATAAGTGATATGCAATAAAAGACAGATTTCATAATCTGAAATCTTTGTTCCTGAACAAAGCAGTGTTTCAGTGTTCAGATCATTAAAATATGGACCGATGGACCGCAACAACACCTAGAAAAGCCAAGAGACACTGCTTGAAACTTTTTGGAAAGCACATGGAAAAAGAGCATGACTTCACACAAGCTGCTACAATGATGAGTCAAATGAATAATTATTCTGCCCATTTTACATTCTAGAAAAATGAGGTTGTCAGGTGCATAATTGTAGGCTTCCAACCAAAAGCCAGGTGCCAATTCCCAGTTCACTCCTGGGCTACTGGTCCCTGGGAGGGAACTGTAGGCAGCATGAGGCAAAATCAGAGAATGGAACAGTTAAAATTTTAGACAATAACTCCCAGAAAACTTACATTTTTGTTGTTATTGTGTGCCTTCAAGTCATTTCCGACTTATGGCAACCCTAAGGTGACCCTATCATGGGGTTTTCTTGGCAAGATTTGTTAAAAGGTTTGCCATTGCCTTCCCTTGAGGCTGAGAGTGTGTGACTTGCCCAAGGTCACCCAGTGAGTTTTGGAGCCAAATTGGGAATTGAACCTTCATTCCCAGAGTTGTAGTCCAGCACTCAAACCAGTATGGCACGCTCTTCTAAAAATCATTTTGGGTCTCTCCCAACTGACTCTTCTTGGGTTTCCTGCATTATTGTTGCTATTTTATTGTTTTAGTCCAGTCTTAGTCATTAGTAATGTACAAGTTTCCTAATGTTTGCATCTGTTGGACTGAATTTACTGGGTGTAGCTCTTGGAATTTGAGCCAAAGGTGGTGGGGAACTGAGCAGATAGGTGAACAGAGCTATTTTGTTGGCTCTTGCCTTAAAATGCTGGGGATAGCTTTTCCACATCCCTCTTCCTCTGCCAACACACCCCTTGGTTGTATGATTTTAGATTAACAGCCCATTTCTGCTGTGGGTGCTATCCTGCCAGGTTCAGAGCCTGAAGGATATTTTTTCATGCCAAAATTTTAATGACCAACTGAGATCAGAACTGAAGGCACATGTAGTTTTTCTGCTGGTGCTCTGCTCTGCTCTGCTTTTACTGTTTTGCTTTGCAAAACTGTAGAGAAAAATGGAGAAATATGTTTGCTTAATTCTGCACATAGATGTTGAATTGTGTATGTTTAAAGTCCATGTTATAAGTATTGACATGTGGGTTGCATTTGCGGGCCAGAAAAGTGCATGATTTGGTCTGCTTAATTCCTTGTCTTAACACACGTTTTTCATAAAGTTTTGATTCAATAGAGCCAAAACCATGCTGTAGTTTCCATGCCTACCTTTGCATATATATATATATGTATATATATGTATGTATATATATGTATGTATGTATGTATATGTATATGTATATGTATATGTATATGTATATGTATATGTATATGTATATGTATGATATTGTGACATAGCTGTTTCCATATACAACTTCCATTTCAGGAGGGGAATGTGTAGCAGGAAGGAGGGAAAGAGACTCTGCCTATATGGTGTGTTTTGGGGCAAAATGTACTTTGGTGTATAAACATCATGAAAGAGTGTGAAACATTGTGTAAATCATATAGTTTTAACTTTTGAGATTTTAAGGGAAATTAATTAACTCAACTCTTACTTTTTGAAACAGTTGCCAGGCTTTCCAAAGTTGGCTTTTGGTTGCACCTCTGGAGCAAGATGCTATGTCATCTAATTTCAATTTGACACATAGGCCCCATTCACACCACGAAAATAATCCAGGATGAATCTGAGTTATTTCCTTGGTGTTCACACTCTCCCTGAATGCACTTGGTTCACTTTTTTGGGGGAGCTACCAAAAACCCCCACTTAACCCTGGATATTCCATACCAGTTTTTCCCCCCTGAGTTTTCCTGAAAGATCTGCATCAATCCGCATCTTTGGCAGTGGGAATATGCTTCCAAATCGATTTGACTCGTTCTATATGGTTCAAGGGAATGGAGGTGGCTTCATTTTATCCTGAAATGATGGCATGTGTGAATAACACAAGGGTTAAAATGACTGAGAGATTCGTGAACCCAAAACATAATGGGAACAATGATTCCGATGTGCATTAGAGCAGTGATCTGCATCTCCTCAAGACAAAAAACTGACTGTGAATGTCCCCATAGGGTTTGCCAACTTTTGCAAGATACAGTGTCAAAATGAGTGAGGTTTTTGCCTGGAGGAAAAGTCTAGTCACTCCGTTTT